CTTGAGGCGCCCAACCGGGAGCGCACAATCCCCATCGACAAAAAGTAGACTGCGCCCTTTTCGGTCGATGCATGCCTGCCGCTTTCGGAGCTTCCTTGGCAGCTATAGGCCTTTTCTAGTGACCTTTCCGTGTTTTTTTTCTTTCCTCGTCTAAGAGGTGCCTTTCTCGCGAGCCTGTTTTAGCTCACTCCGGGACCATAGTTTGGATCGTACACCGCAACTGCTTTCCGGCCAGCACGTGAGTGTCTTAGGTGGCAGAACTGCTTCTGGCCCCCGAGCCGCTTGTCGTCTTCGTTGTGCGACGGGCCTCCTCCGCCCGCAGCGGCGAAAGGCCAGTTGGTACGACACGTCGCCATGCAGCTGTTGAAAGCCTGTGTGTGCAGAGAATAAAAATTTCTGTTGACCCCCTCGCCCTCTGTTCTTCCGACAGGTGCACCTAGTGTCCTGTTCTGCCCATGCATCGAAAGTGGTCCCAAAGTGTCAACAAATGATACAAAAGTCGAAGTGTCGTGTTGTTGGATGTCCCGAGTCTGGTGGTTGGACATAGACGTTCTGGAAACAAAAGCACGAGACTATGTGAAAGTCGCTGTCATCGCGACGTCCCAACTCCTAGCTGCCGAGGCTTCTATGGACTTGAGCTGGAGGGCGACCTGCAGCAGAACAGGCATGACACTGCAAAGACGTCATCGAGCAGAAATTGAGGAAGCACTTTTTAGGATGCAGTAAATGCCAGTCGGAGAGGAGTTCTAAGTACCATAGCCATACTGTGCTGCCAAGCCTGTTTTTGCTTTCGAGGTGTTTGGCTAGATAAGTCGTGTGTCCTGGCTCATGGACTTTGCATGCCTTGTATGGGCGTTCAATTTGGTGGCCTTGCTGCTGAGCACGTACCTTCTGCAGTATTCCCAACTGCATGCCTATAGATGGCGGGGCAGTGGTCGCAAGATGGCAGAAGAGACTGGGATAGGTGCTCCAGGATTTCCCTGCAAGCTGACAGGGTGTATCTCAAAACATCCCATTCGCATTTCAACCTTGCACATTTCGACCCATTCTCATTTGGTCCTTCTCGTTTGAACCTTCTCATAAGATCCGAATCGTGTTTTTCGCAACTGGACCCATTCTCATTTCGCCCGTTCGCGCTACGACTGAATGGCACTAGTTCGGCATGCTTCTAATGACGTTATGCCTTCGCGGCTTTGTTGATAAGCCTTACCTTGCTTCGGCCCCCAACATACCATCAGATATATGTTATGTGTAGAGGTACGCGCTAAAAATCGTACATTGACGCCTGCTTTTCTTCCTCTACGTAAATGAGAAAGAAAAAAAAACGATGAACATTTAATTTGGAAACTTTGAACAGAAATAGCATACATAATAGCAGTGGTTCTCAACCATTGATGTTTCGCTGACCCCTTGTAGAAAGGCGGAGATGATGGAGGACCGGCCGTTCGGGGTGAGGGGAATATAAAGGTAAAGGTTATCATGATAATGATTTAATAAATGGATATAACTAATTGCTAGTGCTAAATGGACTTGTCTCATTGACACACACACGAGAGTACTCTCCCGAAAATTGGAACGTGTCTCCTCAACGTGAAGAAAGACAACTAATATTTCCGTGCCTGACTGATGAGACAGGGCTTCGCAGAGACCCCTAGGATGCCATCGCAGACCCCTTTTTGAGAACCACTGCACAATAGAAGTGGTGGCGTTGTCCCAAGTCGAGAGACTTCAAACAACGTGACATTTCGGAATATGATCTGGCTGCGATAAATAGTTGGCGAGATATATTTGAGAATGGATGTTTTGAAAAGGACAAAACGAGAATGGGCCCAAATGAGGCAGTCTGGAATGCGAAAGACGAAACGGGAAAGGACCAAATGCGACAGGTCCAAAAAAGAAGATCTTTTTGAGAATGGTTGTTTTGAGAAGGGCCAAGTGAGAACGTCGAAACGAGAACGGGCTCAAATGATAACCACCCAGCTGACATGCCGACTCTGGTCAGTGTGCTCAAATTTATTTGGTTACATAAGTGAAGCAGATAGGTGACCGAGATGCTAATGTGCATTAATGAAAATGAACATGTTAATTTTTAAGAGTTACAGAGGGGAAAAAAATTTATATTTTAACGCACTTGGCTTTTTTTTTTTTTTTTAAACTGCATGATGCACGAACACTCCGATTAGAACCATGATCTCCACCGCCACCCACGCTCTGGTTCTTCCTTAGTGCGCGAGCGACGGGCTGGAGTTGCGAATACATTTCCCACCAATGAATTCGTTTTTCTTAGCAAGAAGTAGTACTGACCACCAAAGTCTGCGGTGATGCATAAAGCTCCTTTATGTTTTAAAAGTAGCGCAAGCCTCGTCGCTGACATTTTCCAGGAGGTGCTGTCTGCACGTGTGGCTCGGCCCTCAGGTTGCTCAGACCGTCAAAAAAGTCCAGCTGCACAAAAAAATAAAAAGCTAGATTTTTTTTTTTTTTTTTTGGGGGGGGGGGGGGGGGGGGGGGAGGTGAACTTCACTGTTCAAAATAAAAGCAAAACGAAGAAGCCGGCTGGCTGAGTGGACAAAAACCGCGCGCTCAGAGTGCAGTAGGGAGGGCCCCTGAAAAGGGACCAAACAGGGAAAAAAAAGTTTCGAGTGACATCCGAAGGCGTGGTCAACAGGGAAATAATTAAGTATTTATATAACGAGAGCAGAACTTGGTTACAAATGGTTCTCGCGCTCCTGCGTGTCGTCGACGTGATGCACCTCAAAGCCAAGTGCCCACCGCGCACGGTAGGTGCTCGAAGTGCTTGCCGCGCAAAACAAAGCTACACAAACCGCGGGAGGTGAACGAGGGTCGAAGGGGATCTTTCCCGCCATCCCTACTCAGGGGAAAAGAGGAGATCTCCATGATCGTGCCATCAGGCTGAGATGCCGGCCTTTTACTTTTCACCCCATTTTCTCGGAGTTGCCGCGTCGCCCGCGGTTTCCTGACACTTTGCTTTACTTCGTAATTTTACAGCGCAGCTTTAGGCGCCCGTTTTCTAGCGAAAAAATTTCCCCGTTAAATCTAGCGGAAAAACTTCCCCACTAGATATAGCGGAAAAGTTTTCCCGCTAAATCTAGCTAAAAATTTTCTCTGGGTGGTCACGTGACCCCCCCCCCCCCCCCCCCCGAGAACACGTGACCCTCAGTACCCTTCCCTCCTCCTCCTCAAGAGCTGCACTCTAATTCGGCGTTACAGGGAGTTGTAAACGACTTCCATTTTTTTTTTTATAGCGGAGCTGTTAAGGGCTAGTTTCCCCAGGATCGTGTGCCCCGCAAAGAAATGTCGACACAAAACTCTGGACACCTACAGCCATCTATGAGCGACGGCGGCAACCAGACAATCGGCTTGCCGGCCTTGCTCATAGATAGCGACAACCTTTCCACTCTGTTTTTCACCAGAGTGGAAAGGCTGAATTTCTCTAGGCGTCGTCCTCGAAGTCATTCTTGAGGTCGTCCTCGAGGGCATCCTAGAAGTCATTCTTGAGGTTGTCCTCGAAATCGTCCCAGAAGTCGTCCTGGACGTTGTCCTTGAAATCGTCCTAGAAGTTGTCCTTCAGGTCGTCCGAAGATTGTCCTATGGTGCCGTCTAGATGCCGTCCTCGCAGTCGTCCTTGAGGTCATCCAAGAAGCCGTCCGACCATAGTACAGCTTTGCTGGTCTTGTTTCTTCACCAGAGTGGAAAGGCAGAAAAGTTTTTTTTTTTCTGGAATTTCACGGACAAAGGTTGTGCCGCGATTCGGTGGGTGGGGAAATGGTCCACGCGAGAAGCCCTTCTTGAGCGAGGGACTGCCTACAGATGTAGCATATTGAGGGAATAAAGTATCCCAACTCCCAAGGCAAAAGGCCTTAGAAGCGACACAGGTTGGCAAGGGAGAGATCGCACTGCAGCCTGTGTTCAGGCGCCGCTTTCACGGTGGCCGTTGGAGAAATCAAAGAATCACGGCATTCTAGCCTGTATTCCCGAGTCTGGTTTTCAAAACGCCATTTGGTTCTTGGTGAGCCAGCCTGCTATGTTCAGGCAGGCACCCTATTAATAGGGTGCCCGCCTGAACATAACAGTCTGAGCTTACAACTATAAGCTCACTGTTTCACCCTCTTTTCAAAAAGAGCCATAAAAACAGGAAACATGCCGAAATAAAAAAAAGGGAATCACCGGTGCAGGTTTACTGCCGAAGGACAAGCGTGTCCACCAATAATAAACATTTTTTTTTTATTTTAAAGAATGCATTGTAACTTTTCACAGGAACGAAGCTGCGCAGAGAAATTTCAAAGGAATGCGTCCATGATTAAAATGCACCTTCATTAAAAATGTAAGCGTTTTACGTGTAGGCGCCTGATTTTTCACTGCATTTTACATAGACACCGTAGATCGATGCCGCCGTATAGCTACTATTGGATCAGATTGTGTCAACATCTCGATTGTTTCGCGACAGAAATTGCCACACGGTATAGGTAGTCATAATAAACAGTCTATGAACAGTAAAATCTTGGCAATGGTTGTTTTTGCTATCTCCCCCCCCCCCCCCTCTCCCCTTTTATTTCGACGTTTAGAATTCTCTGTAATGCCAAATTAGAGCACAGCTCTTGGAGGAGGAGGGGAGGGTATGAAGGGGAAAGTTTCGACCCCCAAAGCCGCCGCCCCCCCCCGCCCGCCCGCCCGCCCGCCCCGCCCCCCCCCCCCCCACCCCACCCACCCCATTCCCCTGCTGCCTATGCCATTGCTGGCAACGTTATAATAGTGTGGCATTTTTGCAACTCAAGAGAGAGTACAGGCGAGCTGGACGAAGACAAACGGTAACGCAGGCGCAAAGGGAGTTATGCGACGTCCGTCCCCCTTAAAAATGATCAACACTTTTAAGTCCACGTGGTTGGAAATGAATAGAATTCATAGACCCGCCTACTACACAGGATATCCAGAAGTCAGAAGAGCCCTAACAATGAATAAAGTGACAACATGAGAAGACAAAGTTTAAGATGTGAAAACTTTTCCTGTGCATCAGTCTTTATTTGGACGTAAAGCACACTAGAACTGGTTTATAAGTCGATTTGAAGGAATAAAATTGGCGACCCTGCCTTCTTTTCATTTCAGCATAGCTTGGCAAACAGCGAAGTGCGTGACAGCTCTCACTCCACAGGTATACATTCGACTGTGCATCGTTGCATACAGACGCTCAGATTTGTTCGCCAGCGTCGTAGCTTTTGCCATGTGCCAAGTTATACTGAAATGGATTATAGTGGTTTATCGACAAATTCAGTTCATTTGGTTACAAATTTCTAAAAAGAAAAGGCAAATATGGGGTGGCTCCTTCCATGATGTCAACAAAGAATGGGGATGGATGAATCTGCCATAACATGACGCTTGTAACATTCCTTTGTGTCTCGTCTGAAACGAAGAGCAGAAAAAAAAAAAAGGAATGCAATCAGTGCACAAGCTTGACACTGCTTAAAACACTTCACAGCAATGCAGGCAGGACACGCATTTATATACCCAATTCTTCCCATTGCATTACTCAACAAGACAAAGCAATCAGCTTAAACCCTGTATATGAGCCTAGGCAGATGGCAACATAGGTGCAGAGAACAAGTAGACCATCCATTAAATGACAGGCAATACAACGATAGGTTCCACAGCAGCAGTCCCAACTTGGGCATGCAAAAGCTTAATTCCATTTTCTTTTCCCTATTCAAGAAATTTATACTTTCCGGCTACTACAGAACGCGGTTACATGGTCTTCGCTTAGCTCAAACACGTGAGAGTCTGCATAACTTTTGTTTCACTATAAGTCAGAGTGCAGTCACAGGCCACTAGGATATGGGGGAATGTTACTCTTCAAAATCGTTTGCAAAAGCAGTTTCAACCAACCGACCTTGACGATCCAAATTTAGCTTCACGGACTCGTGGGGCTCCTTGCAGAATTGGGCGTCAGTCCCTGAACACTCGACGTCCACGACCGAGGCCCATCAGCCTCATGCCGGCGCTCAGGCCGTCGGTGCCGTTTTCGCTCGGCGTTGTCGAAGCTACGAATTGGGACAAAAACGCAGATTGTTAGAGGACCACCTTGTCACGCACACGCTATGCGAAAAGTGTCACCCCGTACGGGCCTCCCTGCTGATAACCAGATCCGCCCCTAGAGACCTAAAAGTGAGTGGCCCTAATGGCCTTTATTTATATACTTTGGAAAATCCAGAAGACTGTAGTCTGCTGCAGGTTAAAAAAAGTGGGGTAAAACCCTCCCACAAAGCCCTCCTCTTCCCACTTTCACAGAGAGAATACTGGAAAGAAGGCAAGTAGAGAGGACGAAACCACCAATCGTGACGAGCAGAGTGCTTTGAGCCAAGGGGCTTTTCCCCCATTCTAAACCTAAACTGATTGTATGTCTTTCCAGCGTTTGCCACCAAGGTGGAAAATGCCGAGTCACTGGGCTGTAGACGCAGCAACCGACATTCTGCGGAGAAAAGATACTGCCCATGCAGAGTGGGTATATAGATGTTAAGATGTCCAACAGTATAGTACCAGACCTTCACCGGTGCCAAGCAACCCAGTCAAAGTGCAATCGTGGAAATATTCGTGCTAACAGACGGTAGACACCGATTTGGGGACCACGCACCTGGTCTAGCCATGGAGCAACCGCGTCCCATGCCCATCCTGTAGAGGGCAGCCTTGTTGACGCCGTCGTCCGACTCATCGTCGCTTCCTTCGTCGCTGTCCGAATCTGCAAGCGCGAGAAACCGACCTGTGACCCACGGCGTACCGAAGCCTAAAGCATGCCTGGACTCTGCGGTGCACACTGATTGCAGTGAACTGCACCAGATAGAGTATCGTCTGCCTCGGATGGAAAGCGACCGCTTCTTACCTCGTCCAGCAGGTGTCGGTACGGGCGTCTTTGAAAGATAAATCTGGACGGGAGGAAAAGGTAAAAGAATTATCAGCAACTTGACTGGCGCAAAATTAAGGAGTTCATAGATAACTGATCTACACTGGAGATCTACTCGCAACTCCAGCCCGCCGACGAACCAAGAACCAGAGGAGCAGGAACGGCGGCGGAAACAGCGGCAGGGACTGTCGTCCTTGGTGCTGCTGCTATCTCATGGTTTTGGTCGGCGCCTTTGTGTATCACGCAGTTTTAACGAAAAAACTAAGTGCGATACAATAGAAATTGTGTTCCGCTTCGTAATTGCGTTGCACAAAGGTACTGGGATGTCCCACGTAATTGGAAACTTTTTGTAGATCGCACATGCTGTGGATTTTGGCTCCTGCGGTCACAACCTGAAAAGGTTGTGACTCCGACTAAATCACGTCGTGTGGCATAAAAATACTGCTAAATTTTTTTTTTTTTTTGTAAAAAAATTTGTTTTGTGACATGCTTATCCCAAATAGGCTGTTAGAAGTGCCCTTCAAGAATAAACGTGCTCATTTTCCTAACGTATGTCGACATCCCCGTCACCTCTGATATGCTCCTGGCCTGACCGCTTTACATTTGGAGCCAAATAAATTCATTAAAAGGGGCACTGACACTTCAAAGGTCTATTTATTTTTTATTGTCTAAAACGATGCAAGTTGTAGTCATAGACACGCAAAAAAAAATGTATCGCGAAAAGAAATTTCTTTGCGCGTGCCTCTCTCTCTTGCCCCCCCCCACCCGCCCCGCCCCGCCCCCGACGATGTCATAAAAGCGTCGTGTCGTTGCCTTCTGCGATCCCGGCACTGGCAGACCCGGCGGACGCCCGTTCCGCTTTAGGTTGCTCTGCAGCCAGACGGCTGATAGAAACCGAAGCAGACATGAAACAGCACGCGCCGGCAACCGTTACACACTCTCACCTCCCCCCCCCCCCCCCCCCACACATTTTTACGACCACCAGCCACGATTGCGCCGTCCGACGGCACGACGTGCCGGTCTCTGCGACGCTATCTGTTTGCCACTTCGGGATAGCTTTCGACGCGATGGCAGGATGGGACGGTAAACTCGGCTGCACATTCCGGAAGGCACCGTGGCAGAAGAAAACGCACCTTGGGCTCTGTCCGCGGCTGACGTGGAATGGGTAGCGAGCTCGAGGCCGGCGAGTCCAGGTCCCTCGGCTTCATGCTCTCTGGGACCACCTCGTCGCTGTAACAAAATCCATACGTGCCTCAATTTTATTGTTTTTTTTTTTTTTGCATTGAAATTTTTTTTACGCGGAATTTGTTTGTTGTATTTTTATTTTGCTTATGTTGAGCGCACGTTCGTTCCATTTTGTTTGCTTACGTCGAGTACTTATATACAGCAATGCGTCATTAATATGGACACCTCAGTTTCCCCCCAAAAGTCGTCCATAATGCGAGTTGTCTATAATAATGAGACAAAAACGCACCTATTTTCCCGGCGTGTCCCATAAAATGGTGTTCATATGAAAAGTATTCACTGGCAGCCATAGCTGTGCGCTCGGCTGCCGAGTGCGTGCCGACGGCGAGCTTCCACGGATCTTTTTCAAACCAGATTCTGCACCATCGAGACTGCCAGTCTTAGCAGCCGATTAATGCAAGCTCATTCCGAGCATGTGCTCCGAACAGCGCACTCAAATATGGCGTCCAGTGAATACCCCCTACAGTGGGGTATCCACATTAAACGGGTCTATACAAATGAGACACAACTGTACATGTATTTTGGCTGGCTGCTTGGCCCTACGCACAAGCAGCACTATTGTCCTTGTAGTTTTGTTATCGGAATAAAGTGTTATTATTATTTGTAACAAAAATAAATAATAAATAATTTACTTATTATTTCACCGCTTGACGGCTGAATGAGGTTTGCTGTTAACACGCAACCGGCATTCCCAAACGACTTGTGCACTTACACCTTACTGTGCAGCGATGCGTAATAGTGCCTCCTCTCCGCCGGAAGCATCCGCTGAACATTCATGAAGATTGGAGTGACCGCCGGCTCTGCGATCTTGTCTTCTAGTGTTGCGGCAACGCTAACATCTACAAAAAAAAAAAAAAAAACAAGCAAAAAAAAGAGAACTGGAACAACTTTCAAAACTTTAAACCTCTCTCTCTCTCTCCTGCACGCCAGACACAGCGACAATCACTAGGCGTTGGGATGCGTATTCGAGTTCGGCCCTAAAAACAGAATCAGTGATGTGATTGGCCTAAGACATTTTGGAGCACCTTTTGGAGCAGCCAGAACAGTGTTTTGGAGCAGCAAACATGGCTTTTGGAGCAGTCAAAACAGTGTTTTCGAGCAGCAAAAGTGGCTTTTAAAACAAAAATTCTTAGAAAAACAAAATTGTTTTGTGCTGGACAAACGAAGGGCACTTTGTGCTGTGTTGTGACGGAACCCGCTTTTTGAGTTTTTACTGCTGAGACATCCCACAAGTGTACAGTGTTGTAGGTGTTGCCGAGCGATACCGAAAGGAACGCTTGCCACCGTTTTACTGGGTCCCGACGAGCCAGATTTTCGTCAAAAGTAAGCAAAACAACGAATTGCAAGAGTCCCGGCTGGTGCCTCTGTCGTGCATTCATGTTCACATGCACACGTGAGGGCAACATCAGCAGGCTTGCAGTGGTACGTGCTTTGTCGCGCAAGCTGAGACAAAGGCTGTTCAATCGAAATTGGAACAATGCCACTCCGCTCCGTCGCCAACTGGTTCCCAAAATAGTATACAAAATGTAACTGTCCAGCATACGACAAAACAACACTCCAGCGGCGCGTGCTTGCCAGACCGGCAGGTAAGGTACGAGCTAAACGCACAGGAGAAAAGAACCTGAGAGCATCGATGCAAGACATCGCAAGCTACGGTCAAACATTTCTTGGAACGCTTTGCGAAACGTCTGAACTCGAGACAAACAAGCGCGCTGTGCAGGTTCAGTGTGCAGACATTGCCTTCTTTGCTTTAGCTCACTTCTCTTCACCAACTTCCTTTCGCGGCAGATTTTTCACGTACCGGGGTCCCTCTCGAAAGAAAGCCCGAGAGAAACCTAGGTAATTAGTATTTCGACGAGGCCTCTAAATGAAAGGGACACTTCAACGAAATTTGAAAAACGACCGTTGTGTTCAGAAATAGGTACAATATGATCCACAATATCCGTAAAAAATAGTTGCACGTTTGTACTTTGAGCCTGGTGGCTGTATTTTTCATTACAAACGGCGCACTCTGACAAGCGCTCGGAAAACAACAAGCGGAGAGCATGTAATACTCAACGCAATCGTGACGTAGTTAGTCTCAGAACGAGCAAAGCTTCGGCAAGGCTGATATCGAGAAGATGTCCTAACAGTTCCAGCCACCGAAGTGGCTGCTTTTGTGTGAATTTCGAGTGACGGGTTAATCTTCTATAATCTTGTAGAGGTACAATAACGACTTCTGGGAGACACAAAGGATATTCTCATGGGGAGGGGAGCTCCTCCTTCCCCTTTTCTCTCGTGGTGGCCGGAGGCGAGACAGTTATCGTCCCTACCTGTCAAAGTTCCTAGACGGGCATTACAAACGAGGCGTTAGCAACAACCACCAGGTGCTCTTTGCTAATCGTTTAATTTGTTTTAAAATTCGTGCCTTTTTCAACAAAAGGTAGATGTGTCTGATGTGACAGTGCTCCCTTGAACACGAATAGACCAAGACATAAGAGCCGAAATTTCGTTGTAGTATCCCTTTAAAGAGGAATTTTTGTAGTAGAGTATGATTTAAACAAGGGCAGGAATGTCGATGAACAAGTTTAGAAAGCAACTTATCTGCAGCGACGTGGGGACGGCAACATCCGACGTCACGCGACCAGCGTGTCAGCTCACAAAGGAACTCTCGTCGTGCAAAAATGTGGTTTTGTTTCACAGCATGACGGCATGTCTGGCACCACTAGCGTGGGAGCGTCCGCACACGCCCGCTTATATCTTTGAAAAAGTTTAAGAAAGACGCGAGACGAGATTCCCGAGACGACGAGGCGCGAAATGCGAGACGGCGGCAAAAACCATGCAAGACCGGATGGATGCAGTGTACTTTGTGTCAGGTGGCCGCTTGCACCACCTAGCTCACGCATGCTCAATTACGTTCTTAGTTTAGTTTCGGTTTTGAAAGACGGCAGAAATTGGTTCTTTGGCACAGATTACCCATATTTTCGCAAAATGTAGCAGGATGTAGCAGGTTTAGCCCCTTGGCGCAGGTTGGCGCAGCAATCACATCACTGCAGAATAAAAGATTGTCTATAGTGCACAAAAAAAAAAAAGTATTCACAAAGAAACAAGCAATCGGCAAAACCGGCAGATTTATGTCAAACGCTCTAAGCAAATTGGCCGATGTGGACAGCTCCAAAAAGTTGGACATATTGGGCCCGCACAATTAAGCTCCGCGTCAACTATTTTGTGCTCTGTTGTCAAGGCTAGCCGAGCTTCCACAGTGCTGTAGTCTCATACTGCTCAGAGCACGCACACCCGACTTCCTCTTGCATTCGCACTCTCTCATGGAAGTCGCTTTCCCAGCATTGGAGCATCACGAAAGCTATGCTAACCTTGGCAACGTAGCAACAAGTCGTAGACGCCAAGTATAGGAACACTTCGCTGTACACTGTGGAGTCAATAAAGCCTTTCCGAAATTTTTGGTAATTAATCCTCCGTCGAGATCTACCATTTCCCCTCGGCCTCAACCTAGAGCAGGAGGCTGCGGATGTCTTTACTCCATCTCGACATTTGGTGCAACGCCATCAAAAGCGCGGGAACAACAATGCAATCCTGCATGACGCCGTTTGCATGGTCCGTCGCATGAAGAAAACACAGACCAAGGTCACACGGTTCAGCACATTCCTGCACATAACCGTGGCGACATAGCAATGACATTCGCCGTTGTTTCCTGCTCTGTTCCCCTAAGACCAAGAGGCGAGTTGACATTGTGCGCACTCCAGCTGACGACCATACCTGGCTTGCATTGATACCACATTAACTGCCACTGTGGCAACACTGCTGTTAAATGTGCATCAAGAAAAAAAAAAAAAAATATCTGCACCACCAAATTTGTTTTTCTGTTTTTTGTGGGGGGGGGGCAAGAACAGTTGAAATGACCGCCGGCATGGTGTTGCGACGTCACATACAAGCCGTGTACTATGGCCTTCACACTATAGTCTATTCCTATGCCATTCTAAACCCGTTCAAAAAATAAATGTCATAGGCTGTCCAAGCCATACCAACCTTCGTCCCAGTTTTCTTCCGCGTGAACGGGTTCACCGGACTGGTAGGGAGGCACCGACACATCTCCGGTTGGCTTGGAAGTTTCAGTCACTGCCGGAGAGAACATGTTCGCGGATGAGTGGCAGGGAACAAAGGTCAGGCACAGCAAATTCTCCGCACCACTGACTAAGCAGAGTCCAGCAAAACTCCTTGTTTACACCCGTTTTCGGCAGAAGCAGCCGAGAATTCCCCAGATCACCAAAATCTTTCCAACTACAACACTAAAAAATGCCAAACAAGAAATTCCAAGTTTGTTTTGTTTTCCTTTCAAAAAGCCTTTTTTTTTAAATGCATAGAAGCATGGCTAAGAAAAAAATAATGGGAGATAAACTAAGTCCACTCAAATATCCTACAAAGCAAAATATATGGTAAGCAAGTGTTCCAAAACGAGTTTTGCACGCCAATTAGAGGGCAGCATATATAAAATTCGCACGAAACGTGCGATGAAAAGGCAACCAAGCGCATGCCGTCATAGGTCGAGGCCGGGGGTAAACAAAAGCATCTGGCGCATTTGGGGGTAAACAAACGCATGAAGAGCGCAAGGAGCAGACGAACTTGCACGCTGTATAAACCCAAAACTACATCATCAAAAATCTTTTCTAGAAATGGAGAAAACAAAAAGTAAATGCCAGAGTACAAAAAGCCGACATTAAACCTAATTATAGATATTATAGAGTAAAATCGCTTTGATTTGACGTTGATTCATTCACTTTCTGTTTACTGCGATTGTGTTTAAAATACCCGGCGAGCACCGATACATTTCTATGGCTGCTTACCTACAAATACAAAGAACCATCTTTATTTACTTTCTTTGAAAATAATACAATATAAAGCCTACATAAGCCAATTATGGCTTGTGTGTGGGGTGCGAAAGGAGCCTCTGCTTTTTATTGCACAGATAACTAAAAGCAACAAAGCATACCAATATAAGTATAAATTACTGCAGTTCCACCTTTTTTTGCAGCTTATATTAATTCCTCTGACTTGATGACCAAACATGTAAAACCCATCCAATCACATTGAATTAGAATTTACATATCGTGAAGGATACAAGAATTCGTGACTTACAAGGTAATTCTAATAATTAAAGAGAAAAGAGGACCTTTTATATTATGTGTTTTTGGGGATACTCCATTATCCATCCTCTCGCTAGTTTTTTTTTTTTTATTCTATGTGATTCTATTTTATGCAGCTCATCCTGTAATGTATTATAAAGCTTAGGTATGTAATATTTCCTTGTGGCCTCTCCATATTTTGTCCTTATAATGGTTCAACAAATTTTTTATTTGGTCTTAATGTCCTTTCTTGTTCATTTTCCCACCTATGTTTGTTGTTGAAAAAAATATTTTATAACATACTTGATTTGATCTCTGAAACATAACTTCCTATTTCTTTTGCATATGATCATAGAGATCATAGTTTCGGTAACCAATATTCCTAACTATCCTTTTCTGAACTGATTCCATCTTTAGTTGTAAATACTTGGCACAGTGCCCATAAACTGTAATTCCATATTGAAGTATGGATTTCCCCAGTGCATCGTATATAATTTTCAGTATGAATCGCGGTACTAGTTCTTGGATATGGTACATATGTGGCATTAATACCCTTAATTTTTTACAAACCTGGTTTATGTGAATATCCCATTTAACCTGTTTGTCTATGTGCATACCCAGGTATTTGACATTATCACCATATTTTAACGGGATGCACAAGCACTCGTTGGAGTTTCGATCATGCATTTTTATTGGAAATTCATTTACAATTTTTTTTTTCTTGGATCTCTAAAGCATATTACTTGCATATTGAACGTTTACGAGTATTCGGTTTTTACGGTACCATTGAATAATGTTATATATATCATCTTGTATCGTCATTGCCGCTACTTCGTAATTTCTATGTGCGCACACAATTACCGTCTAATCTGCAAATTGAAGGAGCTTACATTTTAACCAAACCTGTGCTACCTTGTTAACATATATTAAAAAGTAGCAGACCGAGGAATGTGTCTCGAGGTACTCCTTGTTTGACATTAATTTTCTTGCTATATTTTGAGCCTAAACATACTATCGACACCGATCAGTAAAATAATTTCGGAATAAATCATAAGTCTTCCCTCAGATCCCAACAGTATATAGTTTATCCATTAATATATCATGATTTATTGTTTCGAAAGCCCTGGTAAAAATCTATGAATAAAGCTAGAACATAATTACCGGTGCCCATGTTTTCATTTACATAGTCATAAAAGTCCTCTAGGAGGTCACTGGTTACTATATGTTCCCTGAATCCATATTGCGTGTGAATTAATAGGATATATCTTGTGATATAGCACCTAAGTACTTTAATGATGTATTTTTCCACTATATAATTTACCTCCAAATGGATGCATACTGGTCTATAATTTAGGAATTTATTTTTCTCACTTTTCTTGTATATAGGCCAAACGACGGACGTTTTAAGCTTTTTTGAGATGATGCCGCCAGAGAATATACTGTAATAATGCAGGTTTCATTATAGTAATGTAGTATTTAATGTCTCTAGCCTTAATTTGATTCAACCCTGTTGCTTCATTAGTCTTTAATTGTTTTACAATTTCAATTAGGTCATTGTCATCCATATTGGGGAAAAATGTTGAATCACTATTTATTATTTGATTTGGTTGTCTTTCTGTTGTCGTACAGCATAGAGCTTCAATTGACTGTAGATATTCTGTATTCAAACTATTTGCTAGTACCTCTAAGTCGTGTTTGAAACCAAAGTTTGTTTGAATAGTGCCTTCAATCGTTTTTTCTTTTTTCGTTGTAAGTTTGTTTAGTAAGAACCAGCACTGTGCTGCATCATGTCTGTGAGAACTTATTCCAGTAATAATTTATTTTTGTGAATCTTATTAATCATGTAATTTTATTCCTAATTATTCTGTGATTTTTTTTGTACTTCTTATTATTAGGAAATTGTTTCAGTAGTTGCCAAGTTTTCTTTTTTTAATTGATCAGGTCATTAATTTCTTTAGTTATCTATTGATTCTGTTATTTACGTTTTTTCGTAATGCATCTTTAAAGGGGCAGTCAAGTGGTTTTTGAGTTCGTGTTTTGATAATGACAGCTGAATTTAGACGCCTTAAGTATCCCTAAAAACCAAAAAGTATAGTCATACGGTGATTATTTCTTTAATAAAAATGTAATTGAAGGCCGCCAAACCTCGGATCCATCCGAAAACGAAACCACTCTCATTGGTCGTCGCACGCTTATCAAAAGGATCTCGGGCCAATGGCGTTGGATGACGTTCCGTCGCGCAGTGATCCCGAGGTAGCCGCATCGGCCGAATCTCTTTGTCATTCGAGCTTCGATCATGGCGGAGTTCTCTACGCTCGAGGACCTGACGCCGTTAGAGGTTGAAGCTCTTCGGCGGACAGCCGACCTGGGGATGATTTCCTATGACGCCACTCCGACGTGCGATGTGGACGATAGCAGCGCTTCGGAGTCATGTTCGGGTTCCGAGGACGACGAAACGCAGACCTTTTCGGGCGTTCTTCGATTTGCAATTGGGGCAAGTCGTAACCAAACCAACGTTTGACATCGCAGCGTTACCGCTGGTACGTGATGTCAAACGATGTCGCCACGTTGACTTTCGCCTCGGGAGAACGGGGGGAAGGCTGGTTCAGACATGTGCAACGAGCGCGTACCTACGACTGCGTCCGTTGCAACCGGAACGACCGCACTGCGCCGCGCGTACACACACCTGTAACCACTACAACAAGCGCAGCGGGTCGTCAGCACGGTGACCGCTTCTGTACGCCGCCGTCAGCTGTGTCAGTGGCCCCTCTAAAAAAGGGGATGCACTGCTACTCAATGCCGTAACAGAATATAGACAGACAGTTTTCTAGTCTAAAGCTTTATTATTTTTTCTTGATAGGCTTGCAGGGTACAGCGAATGAAAAAAATAAAATAAAAAGATGCAGCGCCGTCTTGGACGATCACGACTCTAATACACGACATTGCAATAGTACAAATATCGCTACACGCCTTTTCTACGATTATAAAAGACAATGTAATCTTAGCAGCGATATAGCAACGTAGAAATATTCAGATAGACGTTGCGAGCGTTCAGGATTGCTAACACTAATCACTTTTCTCCGGTGATGAAAACGCGTGAAAATTCGTATCCTTTATACGGTACGCGCCAGTAATACCTTGAACTTGAGCACACGCATGAAATGCGCCAAATCAGAAATCCGGGCGATGTTCGAGGACACAAATGCTTAGAAAGCACCACAGTAGTCGAAGTAAACAAACACGACGGCACGGGCGTTTCTGCTATCTTGAGAGTGCCGCCACGACATCGCCGCACGAGTAGGTGGATGTTTTCTTCTAGTACGTGCTGGGTTATCATAGCGAAACACGACGAAAATTCACAGTCAAGGATAGCGCTTTTACGCGGAACGATGAGCTTTCACCAGGCCGTCCATTCCGACGATCACCACCGACGCCACGTTTGCGGATAGAAGGAGCCGGCCGGCCCGCGACCGGCACGACCGGCCTGCAACGCGCGGAGATACGTGCGCTTCCGCGCATCCCTGGGGAACGGGAAATTCACCCCCCGCGGAGGAAGGCAAATAGAAAACATAGTCCCTTGTTTGTGAAACGATAACTGCGCTATCGCGTATTCTAAACTAGGAATATTTTACGTCTTGTGAAATTATCATGCACAACATATTTAAATGAACTGAAAATTGTTTTTTTAGCGAAACTTTAAAAAGACCGCCAAAATTTTCAAACATACGATAATTTCATTGGTCCTCGCAAGTACAGAAAAGAGTCCGCACGTATTTTATTCCTGCGTGATTAATAGGCGTTTCTGCCTTCTAAAACTGAAGATACTCATTCACTGACACTTCCTTAACACCATCGCGCCAAAAAGTAGCTTCTCCAAAAACCGCTTGAGTGTCCCTTTAAGGTGACTTTGCATAAATATCTGAATATATTAACAATATTATCGTATAATTTTTTCGGTTCCGTACTTCAACGCTCCAGTCTATTTCTTGGATATATTTATAGACTATCTTATTATTTATAAATGAGCCTTCGATAGCTTTATTACTGTTTTGAATAAAATCTGCAATAGTTATTGCCACAAAATAATGGTCAGCCACTTTTTCAGAATTGACTTGTCCTTCGAGCTTCCGTTCTTTAGACCGTATGTGTATTTGATCAATACACAACTGTGTTAGTTTCTCGCCTATTTCTTCTCATGTGAATTCATATATCGACTCCAGTCCCACTTGCGCCATGTCATCTAGGTAATTATTTATCATTAAACAGGGCTCTGTGATGTCTAGATTAATATCCCCTAGAACTATTAAGTCTGTGTCTTTGTTGTCGTTTAGCCATTTGTTTGATATCATCAAAAGACCCTGTGGTACTCAATACAATCTTAGTATAAAAGTTGTCTTTCCGCGGTCTTCAATATGAATGTGAAATTCACCTGCTTACATGTTCCTCAAAGGTTTACTAGACTGTGTTCATTGTTTTATCCTCTTGATTTGCATCAAGCAGTACCCATGACCCACTTACAATTGACATATAACCATATGGAACAGATCGCTGTGAGCACTACCCCAACATGCTTTGTGACATACATAGCTTTCAACAGCGTATTAATGCCAATGTTTTGCTTTAATGTTTTTATTTTTATTATCTTTGTGCATCTACACTTATAATGTTTTTATATTACTCAAAAGGGGCTGGAAAGTGCACCGCCAAAGAGGTGTCAAGCTGTTTGCGGAGACTGAAAAGTTTGAATGCATTTGAACGGATCCGAACATTGAGCCAAAGATTAAAGCAGCTAGCTTTACGCCCAAGCACTAATCATTCCACCAAGAGCTCAGGGTTCCGATGTCCCCGCGTCCTCTTGTTTTCCCCTCCACCCTCAGTTCCTACCCGCACTCTTTAAGACTCCGGGAGTATGACACTGTCCTCTCGTTGGTGCCCGCACGCGGTTACAGTGGACGCGTTTAGTCCGTGCTTCGGAGCGCAAGAGTTTGGTGCTCCTTTCACTAAACGGACAGGAGTGTCCCCGGAGACTGACACTCGAGCGCGCTCTTCGTGTACCGATAATTTTTCGGAGCGCAAGTGACTTCTTTGCGCTCTGTGACATCACGTACACAAACAAGATGGCTGCGCTGCTGTTGAGACCGCCGAGACGAAAGGCGTAGCCGGCCCGCTGCCCTTTTCAGTTGATTAGTGCCTAATCCGACAGGTAAAAACAATATGATTTGAAAGCCAAGACAGGAATTAGCGTTCTGAAAAAGGTTTGTTCGTGCATCTCGCCTGAAGAAGAAATTCATCTATCAAATGGTAGCGTGCCGATAGCACAGCGACAGAAAAGTTGTCGAGATGAGGGACATTCGAACCGTTCTGCTCCTTTTATAATGCTTAGCCCAGCAAATAAAGATACTTTGATTTGAAAGCCGAAACACCAGCGAGCATTGAGGAAAAGGTTTGTTTGTGTGTCTTGCCTGGAAACGAATTGATCTATCGAACGAGCGTGCCTTTAGCTCGGCGACAGGAAAGTTATGATGAAAAGGCAGTCAGACCGCTGCCCTGCTTAGAGCGCTTAGCCCAGCCGGGCGCGCAGCGGATAAAAATACTTAGATTGGAAAGCCGAAACACCAGTTAGCGCTGCGGGAAAGGTTTGTTCATGCATACCGCCTAAAAACGAATTGACGTGCTATCGAACGACGGTGTGCCGGCAGGGGCGGATTTAGAGGGGGGGGTCCGGATGTCCTGACCCCCCCTCTTGATTTCTGCTTGTGTAAATTTTAGGGCGTAAAACGAAAGAGAGGGGGTTTCTAAACATATGGTGCGCGAACAACACCTGACCCCCCCCATCAGGAAATTCCTGCATCCGCCCGTGTGCCGGTATCGGCGCAGCTTCAGTCTCTCTGTGAGATGGAACCAACGGAACCAGGGAATCTCCGACAGATTTGAGGGTTTCCTACGTCCACGAGTGGGTTCAAGAATGTTGTATTTAATTAAAATCGGAACAGCATGCATGGTCAACAATTAGATTGACCAAGGTAACTTTCCACATATGTGCACGAAGCGAGTCTTCAAACCTTTCAGGAATAATAAAACGTTCGTAGAAACTTCATAACATCGCCGTCTCTTTTGCTTTAGACTCTGCCGCTCCACACGGGCCTAGTTATTTATCTTCGAAATATTTTCAGCTTCTGCCACCCGTATCCATCGTCGGAAGGAGCTCGTGTGGCCTGTCGATAGTTTCTGGCAGTGTTCCAAAACTTACTCGATCTAACTCTAAGGTAAAGGTGGTTATCAAAAACCTACCCGCATTTAGTGTTTCTCTATTTTCGTTGTCATGTGACATAATCCGCCAGGGTAACTCAGATCTATTCGAGTAGGTTTGGAATGCAGCCTTGGTGTGTTGCGCTCCTGTACGCTATGCGCCGTTTAGTTGCTGCGCTCGGAGCGTCGGAGTAGGAGTAAAGGAGCGCCGACTTAACGCGCCCAGTGCCGAAGCGACGAGAGTGCCATGACAGGTGTTTGAAACCACACTCGCCACAAGGTAGAAGAGGCCAACTCACCAGTGAGGAATCTTTCCACCGTGGTGTTTAGGGGACACGTGTGCATGTGGTGATAAAATTCGCTGGCGGGAACCATGTGCTCAGCAGAGTAAGGGCACGGCTTTAAGTCCATTTCGGGATGAGCCTAGGATGACAGGAAAAATGCACATAAAGATATTGTGCCTGGAAAAGTGCTGTCAACGTAACTAGAACAACTTGGTTGGGAAACTAGTTATAATAAGAAACAGCGCAAAAGGGACAGGACACAAAGTAAAAGAAGGACACAGGACCTACGCTGTGTCCTTCTACTTTGTGTCCTGTCCCTTTTGCACTGTTTCTTATTATGTCGTTCAACCAACCAGCCCAGCAAGGTATCCTGTTATACTGTTATAGGGAAACTAGTGTTTGAAATGAAGGCCCTTCACCTCCACAAGAACCGAGCCACCGCAATCTAGATTCGATTGCATCACCATCCTCTGGCACCCGATAGATTCTGTTAGTTTGTAGGCTTTTGGTTAGTTGGGGGTGCATAACCCCTTTTGAGATCAGGGGCTTGGCAAAAGTTCACTTTGCCATCATAGGCGAGATTTCTGAGTTTTTGGTCTTTCCTCACTTTCTTCGGTGCACTTTATGAATTGGGCAGTTCTTGAGGAAGACGCAGCACGGCACGACTGTACCTTCTTCGTTCTGGCGTTTGAAGTTCCCGAAGTGGCCGCCGCGGCAGGAGCGGCGGCCACTTGAAGGGCAACTCCGCTTCATTTTTGTTCTTGAAAAAACAATGCAGTCCTCTTTAGTATTACCTAGGAAGACCACACATAAAATACTACAACCTAGTTCTATCTAAATGTTTCTTAAACAGTTTGGCAAACTTTGGAACGCGCCAAGTTGCCGAAATTGGCTGACTCTAGCGGGCGAATTGATGCATTAACAGTGCAGTAAAGGTTATGGTGTTGGCATTGCCAACATTGAGCTAAGCATGGTCAACATTGCTATTTTACGTTTGTTTTTACTCCTCCGGGCAAGAGTAACAGCTGATGTCAGCAGAGTGTCTTTTGAGCGCTCAGTAGTGTCCATGTGATTGGCGTAACGCACCTGCGCAGTGCGCTTCTCAGCCTTGGAACCTGTCTCGCTGTCTGTGATTATTGTCTCTTGGAGTTTAGTGCACACTATGTGCGCCAACTGATGCCACAGTTGTGCAGACGTCATCAGATATCATGGACACGAAATCATGGTGAAGACTGCGGTGCAGGCGACACTTGTGCCTTGCACACACCTGCCCCAATGGTAGCCCGCACCGATCCGACCCGTCGCAGCGTAGAGGATCACGTAGAGGAGTCAAAGTTTCAATTTCTGCTAACATTAAAAGTAAGATTTCATAAAATATATCCCATCTTTTGCGAAGCAAATGACGTAGTGCTTTTTATTCTTGCCTTTTAGGGAGAAATCACTCATAATACCAAAACTTTTTAATTGAGCTGAGTTGCCCTTGAAGCACATGTTGGAGCCAATTCTCCAAGGTGGCAGTTTCCCAACCGAGTTGTAGTAATGTCTAGTGTTGCACCCATGAATGCCAATGTCTGACCACGGTATCAACACCCAAATCGATGACAGGGAGGGGCGTTGGCTAAAGTATGACTCGGACTCAAAAAGCCACGCATACAATGCAGTTTAGGATTCTCCAATCGCAACGGACAGCACGGTAGTTCGAAAGCTAAGATGTATGGCGTCAATAACGATGCCACATACCTTTCGACACTTGGTGATGTGAATTTGCAAGCGGCCGCTTTTAACCTGGTGCGCCGCGTTGTACGGGCAGGTGACCAAGGGCTCGCGCCTGGTTGTAAAGGTCGCCATAGTGAATCTGAAACAAGGAAAACGCTAGTCATGATTAGACATTCAAGCTGGGGCTGGTGCCCGAAACCAGTCCCCACTTCGGTGAGACAGACACTTGCGGGTGTTAAGTGTAAATATTCTAGAAGATTCTGGACGTCCCAAGTTGACCAAAGGTTTCAGAGAAGCGAAGACTGCACAGTAGAAGACGGGATTGCACCTTCGTTTGCGCAACATGTGCGGAATCAAACGTTATTTTTCATTTCTCGCTGCACATGCGTCAGCGCAGCTAAGCGTGAATACAAGTTCGGAAGACACCGAAAAATACCTGAAGCAAAACAAGGAGTTCCGCTGAATCGGGTAAAAAATGCAGCTAATGTAGTGGCTTCTTTGACGTGCGAGCAATACGAACTTCCAGAGAAAAAAATAAGAAAAGTACAGAATGAGTAGATGGATAGTAATGTAGAGAATGTAGAAGGGCAGTAGAGGAGCGCTACACCGTTCCTTTAGGGCGGCAACTTGCGCCACCTAGCCTACGACATTGACTCGCTCTTTTAAATTTTGTCCTAGACTTTTTCACCCAGTTAAAGTGAACTAGAGTAAAGTGAACCCAGTTAACCGGTTATTAACATGTTTTTCTAGACATGTCACCCTTTTCCAAATAAACAAACAAAAAGGCTTAGTAAACGTTACTGAGCTGCAAACGGTGCAAAGGTGCTTATCGTATTTATTGTAACTGTTTCTCTTACCATTCCTTTCCTTTCACTTCGTTCTTTGTGCACGACTTCTGTTTCTGTCCCCCGGATTGTACAATTACTGCATTCCTGGGCATGCTTCGCTACTTCTAGTTCTGAGTTGGGACCTTTCTTTTTAACGTTTAGCCCATGCGCGTTTTTCTTTTTTTTTTTTTTTGCGTTTGATGTTTTTGAGTTTTTGTGCAGTTTTGCGTAATTCACCTGCGCTCTCGCTGCAGTTTTGTTGATTCAAACCTCATCTTTGTAATTTTAATCTAATTTCATTTATTTGGCTCAAGAGAGTCGGGACAAGAGCAAAAAGGCCGATTTTATCATATGTCACCTCGGCTCTTCTAGAGCACTATATAGCTCCTACGGAGCAGAGTAACGCAATCCTTTGAACCCCGTGTTTTGCCGACAACATGGCCGACAGAGCGGCTCGGCGCGAGTCACGTGGTACTCAGGGTTCCAGGAGGCGGCCCGCCCTATGGGAGAATACATGGAGAATACACAACACGGCTGATTAAAAAATGAACGGCGAGTTCACACTTTTCAAAACTAGTCTGTCATGAAGTTAGTAAAGCACTAAACACTTTATCAAAGTTTTAACAATATCGGATGCGTGTGCAAATTTTGAGAAGGCAATTTCCAAGGCAATGGCGTTTGAAGCAGACGTTTTTTGCTCGCAGCGGAGATGGGCTTTTCGGGTTGGCCGGAGCGGGTCACGTGAACGGTGTGACGTCGCCGTGTCGTCTGCTGCATGATGCCGCTCAGGCAAATTTTTAAAAAAAGTCAGGTCCTTGCGGGCACAAAACTTAACGCAAATTATTCTAAAGTGTTCCATTATTATGTCAAAAATGATTGCGATTCCGTACATTCCCACAATACTGGAGAAACAACGATTTTCTCACGTTCCCAATGGGCGCGTTCAGTAGCGCCTCCCTTGCCTCCGAACGGAGTGCCTCGAGTCGGAGTCATCGGAGCGCCTACTGAACGGCAAAAAAACCCGCGGCTCCAAACCTGCTTCTACGCAACTTCCGCTTCCTCCCCTGTGCCAGACGGTCTCCGAATAAACTGGAAGCAGACGATGGCGAGCACGATCGCTTTTATTTGACGCCGGTATTGAAGAAGTCTTTACAAGGTCGTTGAAGAAAAAGCGGGTGATTGTACACATCAGCGCTGCTGTTCGAAGCGATGCAACGCGATCGAGCCCTTCGCTTGGCGGTGCAAAGTCAGCTACTGTTATAAAAGCCGACAAAAATCGTCGACAGTACACGCAAAATACCGAGCTCAGCGAATCTACCCCGCCGGTTGCGATACTTTTATACGGCCGTAAGTTTGTTCTGCCCTTCGTAACCACTGATCTCAATGACAATTGCTGGATCGCGCTTGCCGCTCCCGCAAGTGAAGCCACCGGGCGTCACTCGCTTGGGATACGATTTGCCGTTTTTGCTAGCCTTTGCTGCGGTTTTCCAGCGTGCTGACGACACGTTTTCTCCTCGTTCGTCGTCATTCGCCGAAGAAGTTTTTTGAAGACTCTGTGTATTGTTGAGACTTTCCGTTGTGAACACGTGGAAAATTTTACGAAAGTGCAGTGTCGCAGGAAAAAGGCACAACGCGTCGAAAGGAAGGGCTGGCGGCGTGTTCAAAGCATCCTTGGCACGCCGAAGTGCCGTGTCTCTGTGCCTTCGCGCGCTTGGATACCGACCAAGAACCGACGCCGTGTGAATGTGTTTAGCGAGTGCAATGCGCGTGAAGCCGTATCAAAAGGTACAACTCGTCGAAAACGTGTCGCCGGTGTCGCGGCGTGATCAAAGCTTCCTTGGCACGCTGAGTGATGCATCTTTGTGCCTTCGCACGCTTGGATACCGGTCAAGAATTGACGCCGCGCCAAAGTTCTGAACGTGTGTCGCGCGTAGATGCCTTTAGATCATTTATATATATCGGCCACGGAGTTCTGGATCGTCCAGCTGTTCCGGTGAGTTGCTATCAATAAAAGAGGGAAATCTGTACGTATTCTTATGTTCTATATTAACCATGGCTATGTCCCAAATCTACTCTAATAGATTCCGTGGGAGCACGAATAGGGCAACGTTGTACGTGGAGCCAGGGGGGTTTTCGAAAGCAAAAGTACAAGACGGCGAGAATGAAAATCTTTGAAGCGCGGCCGATATGGTCGTGTGCAATCTGTTGACCAATTACAATTAGGCGAGTCGCGTAGGTTGATAATAAGCCAGCACTGATCAGTGATGAGGAGCTGTTGTGCACGGTATTGTGTAAATCGTCTAAGGACGAAAAAAAGACGTACCTTCTCCCCATCCTCCGTCGCTAGTGGACGCTGGATTAAGCTCGTTCCTAAACCGCGAGGGGAAAAGACGCTGATCCAGAGGCACGAACAGCTTCACGCACATTGCACTCGCTGAACACATACACACGGCGTCGGTTCTTGGTCGGTATCCAAGCGTGCGAAGGCACAGAGACACGGCACTTCGGCGTGCCAAGGATGCTTTGAACACGCCGCCAGCCCTTCCTTTCGACGCGTTGTGCCTTTTTCCTGCGACACTGCACTTTCGTAAAATTTTCCACGTGTTCACAACGGAAAGTCTCAACAATACACAGAGTCTTCAAAAAACTTCTTCGGCGAATGACGACGAACGAGGAGAAAACGTGTCGTCAGCACGCTGGAAAACCGCAGCAAAGGCTAGCAAAAACGGCAAATCGTATCCCAAGCGAGTGAAGCCCGGTGGCTTCACTTGCGCTGCAGCGAACAAGCGGGGAAGCGCGATCCAGCAATTGTCATTGAGATCAGTGTTCGTAACGAACTTCCTATAAAATGTATTTGTATACAGACGGGAAGTAGACCTGTGCGCCGGTCAGAAATCGCCGGCGGCGGCGCGCCGGTGTTTGTACCTCCGGCGGCGGCGTGTTGACGGCGCGGAGATCAACGGACCGGCGGCGGCGTGGCGCGGAAGAGGGAGGAGAGGAGGGTGGTGTAAATTAGAGAGTGAGGAGGAGAGAGAAAGGAGTCGTTTGAATTTGGAAAACAAGATGCAAATAACCATAAAAAAAACAGGCTTTTTTTTTTTGTGAAGAGTGCGTTCGTTAGAAGAATCAGGTACTTCGGCGTCTTGTTTATTCTCGTTTGTAAGAGAATATGTCACCGGCTCGCAGCCGCGGCGCAAGATGAGGACCGACGACAACAGGTATTTTATCACCGCGTTCCACCCCACCACGCGCTTGTCGCACGCCCCGTGCCTAACGAGTCGACCGAGCACGTCCTTCGATTTATAGAACTCGTACTCTCATTTGATACGCCGCAAGCCGTCATCACCGACAACGACAGGGTCCTAACCTCTCGTTCGGCTTCGCGGTACTTCGCCGACAGGCACATTCAGAGCATCCCTAACAGTACTTTACGTCCCCGAAGCTAACGGCTTTGTCGAACGCGTCAACGGAAAAATCTTTCCATGTCTGCGCGAAAGAACGTCAACGGCGACATCGACCATTGGAGCGGTTATCTCCAGGCAACCAGCTTTCAAGTGAACCAGCAGCCGTACGCCGGACTCCAGACATCACTGTTCGAACTCCTGTTCAACTTTGTCCCACGTCGAGCAATGGAATTTTCCCCGCTTCCCGACGAGGTCGGCGATGTCCCGCGCGAACTGCGACGCTGCAAACGCGAACCTCGCTTACCTTCACAGCATGAAGCGTTCCTACGATGCAAAATATCGACCATGCTCCATACAGGGTCAGGGACAGGGTATGGTACACGAACGGCGTTCCTTCCTCGAAACTTGGCCTGCTTTTCCATGGACACTTAATTCATCACAAACGTGAACAATCAAACCTACACCATTTCCGGGTTAACCCCGCAAGGCACACCGGATTGCCGCCAAGCTGCCGCACGATAGCTCTTTGCTTTCTTTTTTTTTTTTTTTTTTCTTTTTTTGTTTCACGAACAACCTGCAGCGATTGACGTCGATTTCAACCAACTCGCCTTGCTCCGCAGCAGATCTTCCGATTACAAGCGCATCACGCCGACGCTGCCCTCCACGATGGCTAGACCCATAACAGAGGATCATGACAACATCTACAAAATGTGCGAGGGTGCAAGGATTTTGAGCTCGGGAGTGTAAGCAAATACTTTAGCGGCAAAGACCGGTAAGGAGAGCCTCCCCGACTCGACCGGATGGGGGCTCGACTTCGACCCCCGATGCTGGATCCCGGCGTGGAAACGAGAAAGAAGGACCCCCAGAAACACGATGTGACAGGAACAAGCCAGGCGTGTGGATCAAAATAAAATACGTTTGAAAGAAGCCTGAAAAACGGACGCGAATATAGCCCTTTTGTATCAAATTATTTCACAAAAATTTCATTTAAATCGTTTTGCGGTCTACAAAACCGTTCATTCCGTTATAACACTTTAAAAACACAGGCGAGCTGGTGAAGAACTTCCATAGTAACGGGAGACACGAAACGATAAAAATAACGCACAAGACAACAAGTCTCAAACACAGGTTTTATACCCGTTTTCACATCAAGAACTCTAGTAAAAAGAGTCCGACTCCTTGCGAACCATTACTAATTTCCACCTTTATGTGGAGAATTAAGATATATGTAGCTGGATTCTACTATATATATGTTATCAAGACGTACACGTTCCAGTGCCAAAATCATCGCTTTTTTCTCCGACAACCAAATCTCGTAAGACTTCGCGTCGCGTATACGAACAGCTTTGTTT